TACTCATGCAAAGTTTAGTTTATCCATATATTTTCATTTAAATATTATTATATTTCACAAATTAACAAAAATAATTAATATTAATTTCTTATAAAATGAGGAAAAGTTGGTGTTGTATATATTTTATTTTCATACATAATAAATCATTTGTATGACATCACTTTCCTTATTAAACAAAATAACAAATTGAGTTTGAGGGATTGAGAATTAAAAGTCAATCGGTCAGTTTTGGTTGGCTCGATAGTTTACCATAATAAAAACCCACTACAAATTCAATCAGTTCATATTCCGAATTTTCAGAGGGGTAGTTTTGACTTTTTCTTTTCCTCCTTACTGGAATACCGCCATTAACCAACCTTCTCTTCCTTTCTCTTCTCCTCTCGTGACCCTGAACATACAACCCCTGTGTTAACCATTTTCTTTTTCTTTTCCATTTAACCAAACAGTGAAAGCCTGGAAGGAAAACCAACCAGTTGAAAATATTCAACCACACTGATGATTAGCTCCTTTGCTCTTACTTTTTTTTGACTAAGTTACCCTCTCAAACATTGACCTTCCTCCACCTTATCATCATCTTCTTCTCTCTCTGTGACGTGCTTGTGTTTTTCCAAGAAAGAGACACCCATGTTGAGTCTTATACCTATTTGGGCCAACAAATGGGTTTGCTGAGGAACTTAGAGAAGAGAGGACAGAGGGAAGGAGAACAAGAGAAGATGAGAGAAAAAGGAAGCTTGGAAATGGGAACAAGAAACCCATTCAAGGATTATTCTCAATCTCACTCTCCCAACAGAAAGTTCTTCTCTTTCGCAATCTTTGTTCTCCTCTCGATTGCTCTCTTTCGCTTATATTTTTACCCACTTCCCCTTCTTCGTTCTCCTTCTTATCACCTTTCCCATATTTATATCAACTCTTCTCCTTCTTCTTCTTCTTCTTCCCTCCCTCTTGTTCCTTTGTTACCTTCCTTGTCTTTCTCTAAAGGTACATGCTTATATCAAATCTCTCTCTTCTTAGATTGATATTCACGGGGTTTTGTTTCATTATGTTGGGTTTTTTCTGTTTTCTTTTTTAACGATGTTCTGATTTTGCAGAGGAGGAAAGGAGCGATGAAGCTTTATGTGACTACACCGACGGCGAATGGATACATGACGAAATGGGTCCATTATATAACACCACCACCTGTGGCACAATCAAGGAAGGTCAAAATTGCATCAGCCATGGCAGGCCAGATTTTGATTATCTATATTGGAGATGGAAACCCCGGCAATGCGACCTTCCCAGGTTTGATCCAAACAGATTTCTCCAGCTACTTGAAAACAAGCATTTAGCTTTTGTTGGTGATTCCATGGCCAGGAATCAATTAGAGTCCCTTCTTTGCATGCTCGCCACTGTTTCTACACCTAATCTTATTTACAGAAATGGTGAAGATAACAAATTTCGCAGGTGGCATTTTGATTCTCACAACATTACTGTATCAGTTTACTGGTCACCTTTTCTTGTTAAGGGTATTGAGAAATCAGTTGCTTCTGGTCTAGATCATAATAAGCTATTTTTAGATTCTGTTGATGAGAGATGGGCTGCTGATTTGGAATCAATGGATATGATTGTGTTATCAATTGGGCATTGGTTTCTACACCCAGCAGTTTATTTTGAGGGTGATTCTGTATTAGGTTGCCATTTATGTATTGGACTCAATCATACCCAGATTGGGTTCTTCGATGTGTTTAGAAAAGCTATAAGGACTACCCTTAAGACCATAGTTGAAAGGAGAGGAGAAAATGGTAATGGTAATGGAATTGATGTAATCTTAACCACATTTTCGCCTGCACATTTCGAGGGCCGCCTGTGGGACAGTCTTGGTGCTTGTAATCAGACACAGCCTTACAAGGAGGAAGAGAAAGTGCTTGAAATAACTGATGTTGAAATGAGAAAAGGTGAGATTGAAGAAGTGGAAGCTATGAAAGTGAATGGTAAGCAACTTAAGGGTTTTCGGCTAGAGGCGTTGGATATCACCAGATTATCATCACTAAGGCCTGATGGCCACCCTGGAGCTTATATGTATGCTAATCCATTTGCTAATGGAATTCCAGAACATGTGCATAATGATTGTGTTCACTGGTGTTTGCCTGGGCCTGTCGATACTTGGAATCAGATATTACTGGAGGTTTATAAGAGGTGGGAGGTTCAATCAAGAAGAGGAGGATGATTCATGATTTATGATTCATATCATGAATCATGATTCATGATCCATGATTCATGATTCATCACAGTATCAAAACCATAGAGGATATGGGTTTGTTTCAGTTTGTTGATTATCTTTTCCTTACACGAATCGTGCTTGTTGTTTCCCAAGAACAATTATAAGATGAGAATTGATGGAATTCTTTGGTTCTATTGGTCTTTCCTTTTGATTGAGGTAATGAGAATATAGGGGAAGAATCATGTCTCAAGTGAATCCGAAGAGAGTTAATTATTTATGATTGCATAAAGGGTTCCACGAATTTTGGCTAGAATATAGAATATACTAATTGTGTAAGATTGTACAAGTTCTGCTGTTTCTTGTTTAAATCTCACAATCGAAATCTTGGACCTGTTTGGTTTTGTCTCGTGCTTATCAAATTTTTCTGGTACGAAACTTGTTAGAAGGTAATTTCTGTATCTTTGATTCAACACTTAGTCTTGTCTAGCTTGTATAAATCAGTATATTTATGAACTTGGGGCCAGCTTAGCAGAATTGAATTGTTCAATTTCAAAAGTAGAAATATGCCTAAACTTAATGATAATGATTCTTCCATACAGGCTTCATTGTGACGGTGACACAGAAAGCATCCAAAATGTAATGAATGTTGTTTAATGTTAAAACGCCCACCTAATTCACCTTTGACTGCAAACCAAAGGAATGATTATGAAGGAGCAGGTTAGTGGGAAACTTTTTTCAAAAGCCAACATTATCTACCCACTTTTATTAACGTTCTTGGGACCCATTTGCTGCTTTTGGTGTACAATGAAAACTTTATTTAACTTGTATATGAAGATTGAAT